TCAACTTAGAGAAGTAAGGGATTGTAATAACAATGACAATAATGCTGGTAATGATAATAATATTATTATTAAAGCAAGACAATTCAACAACAACAACAACAACAACAACAACAAAAAAAATTAATATTTTTGAAACAGCTACCACCAGTTACAAGAAAAGTCATTATAATCATTGCCTTGATGTATGCCACAGGAAAATTCAGATTGTTAAAATGTGAGCCAAAGCAATCTCATCTGTTGTATTTCTAAACGAAAAGGTTTTTTTATCAGAAGCCCAAAAGCAGATAACCATTGGGCATGATCTAGAAGCCAATTTGACAATTAAACACCCATCTGTTGCAAGTATACAATGTATACTTACAATTGTAAGTAACAATAGCTTAATTAATCATTCATATCTATTATATGTACATATTGAAATCATTATTCATTTCTATAATAATAATATTATCATTTATTATCCATTAGAGAAAAACAGACAAAATACATTATGTCAAGGAATTAAATTTTGAAACAGTTTTAAAAAATGGCTGGAACCCAAGAACTCATCTTAATGGTATACAGTTGAAATGGAATGAAGAACAGGTTTTAAATCATAATGATCTAATTTCAATCAAGGTTGAAGGGGGCTTTTTTTGTAAGTAGTATAAAACAATTAATTTACATATATGTTTATGTTTGCATATTTGGTTTATCTTTTATTTACTCAATTATGTTTATATAGATGTACAATTTTTTGAAAATGCCAAAACTGATTGTGAAAAAATAGTTGCAGAAGAAAATAATCATTTACCTGCTCAATCAGGAAAAAAGTATCATGTTATAAATAATGAAGATGATAGTAATGACCATGATAAAACTGGCAAAACATGCATAATTAAAAAAGTTAGATCAAATAATTGTAATGATGAAAAGATTTATGCTGCTAAAATTATCCATGTCAGTGATGCAAAATATGACAAAAACAGAATAATGGAGTATAGAAATGAAATTGATATTTTGAAAATATTGAACCATGAGAATATTATAAAGGTAGTTGATGATTATTTTGATGAGGAGAATATAGTAATTATTTTACCTTATCTTTGTGGGGGGAGCCTTGAGGATTATATTAAAACATTAAATGGTTTTATAAATTTCCAACATTGGAAAAAATTGGCTTTCCAAATTTGTTCAGCTATAAAGGCAAGAACATTTTTATTATAGTTTTATTAATATTGTATTCAAATATTATATTTAATAATTTTAAACATTACCATAGTTGTATATCTTTTATACTGCATATAGTAACATTTTAATTTTTTTATTCTCACTAGTACATTCATGAGAATCACATAATGCATCGAGACATCAAACCTGACAACATCATGTTTACAGATTCTAGTTTTAATCAAGTTAAGTTGATTGATTTTGGTGAGTCAAAAAAAATAGAAGGATCTATTGACAGCATGGGCAATTATATTGAACAGACCAGCACAGAGTTAGTTGGGATACCCTTATTTGTTGCACCTGAACTTGCCAAGGCATTCAAAGATAGTATTGAGATGTTTAAAAAAGGTAATGGTAGTGATGGTGGTACTGCTCAATGTGAATATGACAAATCTATTGATATCTGGTCATTTGGGATACCATCATCATAATTTATGGCACTAGTCTTTACATCAGAATAATGCCAGTCTTGTGGTTTACTAATGATCTGTTGACACATTTAGAAAATGCTTGTTGCTTGCCAACATAATTATCAAATTTTATTTTGCAAAAGAAAGTGCACCATAAAAAGATCAGAAGGTATGATAATGCATTAAAATAAATTGAATATGATTTAAGACCTTTTTCTTGTGATTTTTCTGACCTGCCACTTACCATTGTCAAGGTGTTGGGTTGTTGGATAATGTTCCCTACTTTTATGCCTTCTTTTTCTTAAGTGGTGGACTATCCTGACCACCCTACTATCGGGGCTACTCATGCATCCTATTTTTCTTTTGTTTTTGGTTGCGGCGGCGCCCGGTGCCGGGTAAATTACTATATGTTGTCAAAACAATATCCTTGGAATGTTAATAATCATGTTGAAGGAGTGGAAGGAAGATCAAATAATTATACTGAACTTTATGACAATATAATGAAAGGTGACCTAGACTTTTCTACATTTAAAACAATTAGAAGTGACATTAATGAAATTGAAACTATTGTGGATTTTATTCTTAAATTGTGTCAGGTAGATAGAGATAATAGGATGTCATCTAATCAAGCATTGCAGCATACAGTGTTTAGTTAATTTAAATTTTCAATCATAATGGTAAAAACATTGTTTGCTTATTGAAAAAGTCTGGTGATTTTTATAAATTCAATTTAAATAATAAAGTTCATACAATAACTTTCTCTCTATTACTATAATAATAATGATTTAAATATTTTACTCTTATATTTAATTAAATTTCTATAGAATAATAATGGGCTCATATCATATATCACTTACCTAAAGTTTTAAAAAATTTATGATAATAAAACTTATGATGATAAAAAAACTTGCAATAAAAACATGATTTTTTTTTGAATTAATTAATTTCTTTATATATTAATATTAATATTAATAAAATATGGCAGGTCACCAAAAATATATTTTTCAATTAAATAAAAAAACAGCAGGTCTCCAAAAACATATTTTTCAATTAAATAAAAAAACAGCAGGTCACCAAAAATATTATCAAAAATAAAAAAAATTTTTTACATTAATAATATTATTAACATCAGGATCTTAAATTATAAAATTGCAATGTAAAACAGGTAAGGAAGGGGATTGATGAATTTAATTCTATTTTTGTATTTACTCTTAATATATCCAAAATTTGCATCACAGATGAATTTGTATGCCCAGGAATCATAAAATTAATGTAAATAAATCATCAATTAAAATTTTAAAGATGAATACATACTTTGTATACAGTCTACTCTCTCTATAATGACCCTCTCTATAATGACCACTAAGTAAAATTTCTCTATAACGAACTTCCCTTTTGTCCCCGTTTCAATTTTTTATAATTAATTTCTCTCTC